CTCAGCCCGGGTTGGCGCTGACAGGCCGGGTAGGAAGCGGCCTCTTATATGATCTAAACTGTGTCAACGGGGGTGTGAAGACACGTGCATTAAATAAAAGAAAAGACAGAAAGAAAAACCAGAAAGTAGGGGGACCAGAAGAAAAGTGGTCACATGATTTGACCGGCCGCATTGATATGCCTCTCCTCTATGTATTATAAACTGACGAAAATAATGTTCTCTTCTTTTTAAAGCAAGATTGTAGTCCAACGTTTTAAATATAAAAGAACTTCTAAAAAAAAACAAGGTTTTGTATCTCCGCATCAGTATATATAGAGAGAGAGGAATTGGTCACTTGTAAGCACAAGGGGGCTGTCCCGAATAATGCTGTTTTGAGAAAATGAAAATCGAAGGTAAAGTTTTGCCCCTTGTTCAGTTTCTTTAAAAGACAAGGAGAGTTTTCTCTATAACCTAACAAATATGCACACCAATGAAACCAAACTTCTCCTATAGGTAGGGCAATGTCCACTTTTGGTGCCGGTCAAGATTTCTGGTAATCCCCCAAATCTGGGTTAGCCCACTTGTCCTTAAAAGCGACCAATTATAGTAAATTATAGTGAACTCCATTGTACATTTTCCAAGAATGCAATCAGAAAATACAGTAAACATAAACTACTCATTTGATGCAGGGAGATTTCGTAACAACGATGAGTGATCTCTGTAATTTTGAGCAATGCCCTGACAGTACGGACGTAACGGTGGGAGATATTTCTCCACGTCCTCATGGTCGGATCAAGGGTGTGGCTGCAGAAAGAGGAAAGTTTGAATGAGCACGCATGGGTATATTATTATATATATAACAGTTTGGTCTGATTAGAGAGAGTGTATAGCAGAATGGATCCAGAGCTCAAAGATGGATAAAAAGAAGGGAAGCATAAAAAGAATGTTGTAGAAGAAAAGACAGGGTGTTTGTCTGTCCATAAATTATCTGTTGTGTCCCTGAATCATGAAGCTCTTTATTGTATATATGAATTGACCGTTGTTGCAGAAAGAACTTAGATCTGTTTGTGTCCCAGCTAGTGATCGATGTTGTCTAGGTCAAGGTCATTGATGAATGGCGCGTTTGTTCAGCAGTGATGAGGGGTTTCTATTTTGATTCTTGGTGAGGTTGCTAAGAAAGTGCATGCAATGTTTGAATGAAACACATTATGAATGCATATAATTGTGCGTGTATTTGTATTTGTGCGTGTCGGTCTTTGTATGTTTGAATATTTCCTTGTGGTTACCTGTGTATGAATTCCATTCTCTTTTGGTTTTTGCATGAATAAATTCAACAGATTGAATAGAAAATGTGTTACAGACTTTAAGACTGATTTTTCTAGTCGGTGTACAAACCTATTCCTTTTGTGTCCTGACAGCCAACTAATGAGGTAAAATAAGTTCAGTACATGTAGGTCTGCTACTGCTAGTTAACAATTGAAGCACTTGTTG